AAGTGATATTAACTGATAAGGGCTTATAAGGGGGCGTTGGAAAGGAAATGCCACGATAGTACTAGAGCAACAATAGGACGTTATATCAGCAAGTTAGGCTGCGTTTATACTTTGCGGCAGCGTAGCGTAGCGCTTCCAGCGTACGCCAGCGGCAGTGCCGGGGAGAGGATGCATATCGATCTAGCGTTCCCAGCGTCACGCTAGCGCTTTTGCAGCGGCAGGGGAGTAGAGACTATGGGAGAGCTGGAGGGTACAAAACACATCGATTGCGCGTCTCTCACTCGCCCTCAGTCTCTACAATACACATCGATTGCGCGTCTCTTACGGCCACATAGTCTCTACTCCCCTGCCGCTGCAAACGCCAGCAAAACGCTGGTGAAACGCTGGCGAAACGCTGACGCTGGGAACGCTAGATCGATATCCATCCTCTCCCCGGCACTGCCGCTGGCGTACGCTGGAAGCGCTACGCTACGCTGCCGCAAAGTATAAACGCAGCCTAACGATCTGCCTGCTCCACGCCGAGGGAGGCTTCTCGGTTGGCAGATATCCTGTGGCCCGCAAAATCATCCAATAGAGAAAATATACGTAAAATCATCATCCCCAGACTCTTTTACAAGACATATCCTGCTTTTTAATTTTTGGTAAGTAAAAGTAGGAATTGTAGCATAAATTGACTGCATAAATATGACCTAAACACCTAAATGATACAAAAAGATAGTAATTACATAAAAACATTACACAAGTTCATCACAGATTGCCTACACTATCTTGAAACGTTGAAACCTCGATCCTGCCCTGCGCATAAATCACCGAGTGGCTCCTGGAGCAAATCTATTGACGCTAGTGCAAGCAAACTTATTGGCGCTGGATCATACTTGTTGAAAAGGGCTAAATCGCGGTGCGTTCTCCGAGCTTGATCACTTTTTTTAGATGGTGGTCGTTTGGGAAACGGAAGGCAACATGTCAACGTCATGTCTCTACTTCTTCGTATTCTACATACTCGCGATCTGATTCGTCCCCGGTTCGTGAAACATTTCGGATGGGTTACGGACGCGTTAGTGGTAAATCGCAAGCGGTTTTTATGCTTCAGACGAGAATAACTTCTTTCAAACGCAATTTTTTGCAGGACTTAAAACGTAATCTGTGCGTCCAATATCTCTTCTTTTCAACAAGCTCAACAGAAGCTCTACAGTTTCCCTGAAGACCCATGGTTTAGAACATATTTTAGGTGTGCAATCCTTGGGCGACATTCTGAGCCACTCAAAAGTTCCACTCCTTCTGTGCCATTGTAATGGATACTCATTCGCGAACTTCAATATGCCTTCAAAAACATATTCCCGTTGAACTGAGTCGAAGCACAGCCTGCT